CCACCGCGTCCATTGTCATCGTCAATGATCTTCTTGAACAACTCCTCTGGATGGATGGAGATGGAATGATGGGCCGAGTAATGCAGGTTGATGTTCTCAAAGGGCACGGTTGCTAGCTGCAGCTTCTGGAGCAGTGCGAGGTACTCCAGTGCGCTGTCGGGGTCCAGACCGGCTACATCGTACTTTCTCTTTTGGTCAGGCAACCCCAGGCGGTCGAAGTATTTTTTTATTTGGTCTCTGGTGTAGGTTGCGCGTGCGCTCATGTTGTTGACTGACACGGACGTTATCGATAGCGGAGTGCAGATCCGAATTTGGCATGCGGCGAACTGAGACGCGATCAGATGGGAGCAGCAATTTCACCACGAGATGCAGCAGCACTAGAATCACTACAGAGAAATATTTCGCGCGGGGCACGCTACGAGACGCCAGCTGTGGTGTCGTCAGGACTGCGCAGCGAATACGGGACGAGAACGCGGGATGGTGGGGAATGTCTGGATGGGCGGTGCCTGCCAAGCGCGCATGAACGCGTGAACTCCCGCCGGCTAGTGGCTCATTCACCCCTTGACGGGCGCAGTCGAGTGCTAGGAGCAGACTGCTAGAGTAGCGTCTCCTGAGCCACCTCTCCAATTGCAACCATGTTGAGCTGCTCGCCGTGAGCGCGCCCACCACCCCCGCTGGCTGCGCGAGTATTACTGTTGGGCGCTCCCGTCGCCTTCTCCATCCGGTCCTTTATAACCCCCCAACGCCCCGAGTCGCCGCGTCGCTCGCTCAGATTCAGAACCATGACCGCCAATGGCCTGCGCACCCAGTACCCCTACGTCGGGGACACGCTCAGTCCCCGCGCCCTCTATGACTTTCCCTCGCCCACGTCCAACTACCCGTCCGGCATCAACGGCACCGCCTCGCCCAGCTTCTTCCCCATGGCCTACCAGATCTCCCCGCGCTTCGGTGCCAGCGCCTTCATACCGCCCCCAGAGGTCTTCGTAGACGGCCGCAGGGAGACCATCCGCGAGAATGGCGTCTACACACCGCGAAACTCGGGCAAGCGAAATTCCGACGCGCTGAATACCGATCCCGTGGCTATGCACTTGCTTGTTGAGACGGCAATCGGAGACAGCCAGTATTTCGACATACTCTCGGTCGAGGAGGTGGAGGCGCTCAAGCAGGAGCAGAAGAGCCTGGACACTCGTCTGGGCACGGTCAGGCGGAAGCTGGAGTCGGAGACGAAGATCCGCGATGCGACGCGCTCCCTCGGACGGCTGGCCTCGAAGAAGGCAAACGGACACAAGCGCGGGCAGAGCAGCAAAAGCAGCAAAGGCAGCAATCCCGTGCAGGACTACGACCCCAAGACAGAGGAAGGGCTGGAGTCTAGCAACAAGAAGGTCGAGGAGTTTATTCGGGAGTGTCTCGAGATAGAGTCTCGCATGCGCATGATCGATATGCAACTCCTGATGCACACTGCGGCTGTACTGCAGCTCACGCACAAGGGACCAAAGCAGCGTCAAGACGACTCAGAACTGTCAGAAGACCGCTTCCGCAGACCAGACAGCCCCGCAAGCCTGAACACCTACGAAGACGGCAGACTCAACGGCGCTTTCGACGAGCGCAGCTTCTACAGGACGCCAGAGAACCTCGACAACCTGATGAACGTGCTGCAAACCGGCAAACACCTCACAGCCTCCACAGAGCGTCACGATCAAGCCTTGAATGCGACTGCCACGCGACTCCAGGAGATCAACGAGCGCCTGAGATCACTCATCATCGAGGCGAACCCCGAGCGTGACGAAGACTATTCACTGCCACCGCTGGCTCTTGAAGGAACGCCTGACGCGTCAACCCTGGATCGCCAGCTCGACTTCCTCGATCAAGGCCTCCGCAGCATCGCCGCTGAACAGTCCAACATTCGCAACAACTCAAGGCATACTCTGAGCGAAGTCGAGGGCCGTCTGGAGGGCATGAACAACCAACTGTATGCGGTAATATCTCGATCCGAAAACGAACAGTCTGACAAGATCCCACCGCCACCCGCCATTACTGGCGGTGGCGCTACCGAACAGCTCAACTACATGGAAGACTCCTTCTACAACCTCGAGCAGATCCAGTATGCCATGAACGAGCAAATCAACGAGCTTCGTTCTAAAGGTCCTGCGGTTGATGAGTCCGAGAGCGCTGAGAAGGCAGAAAAGTACGAGACTACGATCATGGGCCTCTGGCAGACTATTCTCACTGGCGAGGAAGAAGCACGCGAACGCAAACGTGAACGACGCCAGTTGCTTGCCGAAGATCCTGATGCCAATGAACAAGTTTCGCCAGACGAAGACTACGTCAACGAGAGCTACTCTCTCCCTGCCTTCTCTTCAAAGGTGCAATTACTGTTCAGGCGAGCGACTAGTCTCAAAGACAAGCAATCAGTCCTGATGCGCCAGATCAAGCAGCAACGTGAACTGAACAACAAGTCGGACGCACAGAAAGAGGCAGAATTTGAGCGACTCAATACCAATCTGCTAAGCGCGAGATCTGAGAAGAAGTCCATGGAGGGTGAGCTCGAGCGTGCGATGGAACAGCTACAGCAATTCGATGAGTCAAAGGTCTCGACTGACACACAGATCTTGCGCGAGACGCAGGAGCGGAACGCTGGTCTGGAGGCTCAGCTGATCAACGTACAAGAGCGAGTGATGGCATTTGAGACTGAACTGAACCAGGCCAAGCAACGCGCTGTCGCGTACGAGAACCAGCTCAAGGACGTGCAAGAGCAAGCTGTAAACTTCCAGAGCAAGATGCAAGAGGCTGAAAAGCGTGCTGCCACATTTGAGGAGGAGCTGAAAGATCACCAGGAGCGCAACACCGCATACAACGTCTCCTCACAAGAGGCCGAGCAACGCACTGCTGGCTACGAGGCTCAAGTTCGGGACGCGCAGGAACGGGCTCTCATGCTAGAGACCAAATTGAGGGATGCCCAGGACGAAGCTCGTACCGAGGCGGCAACGATCCAGGCTCAACTTGCCAATTCCCTCGAGAAGATCACAGAGACTACAGCTGCTCTCGAAGCCGTAACTGCCGAGAAGCAAGCTGCCGAGGCTCGCTCTTTGGACGCTACCAACTCCCTCAATGCCAAGGAGGAAGAGTTCCGCAACCTAGAAGGCGAAATTGTTCGCCTTACAACCGAACTCACTTTCGCCAAAGCAGAGCTCGATGGCGCTTACGGTACGCGCGCGCAACGTGCTGCTGACTCCGCTGCCAACCCTGCTATCAAGCGAGAGCTCGACGAGCTCACCGAGCAAAACCAAGCGCTCCTTGGCGAACTAGAAGCGCTCCGCAAAGTGCAAGACGTTGCCTCACAATCCGAAGCCGAAGCCAGGCAATCTGAGCGTAATCTCAAAGCTGAGCTATCCGGTATGGCTGCCGAGTACGAAGCCCTTACCCGCGACGCCATCCAAAATGAGAAGGACCGCGAGGTTCTCGAAGCGCAAATCGATAAGCTGCGCGACGAGAAGGAAGCTCTGGAGCGCGAGCTCAGTGACGAGAAAGTCAAGTGGCTCGGGGTTAGGAGTCCAGGGCCCGGTATGCCGAATGGCGCTGCTGCACAGCTTGACATGGGCGCGACTAGTATTCGCATGTTGAGAGAAGACTTCAGGAAGATGATGAGGGACCGGACTGCTGAGGGATTGAAGGCGCTGAGGGTAAGTCACTTCCACACGCTTCTTCTGCAGAACACTAACACTATACAGGCGGAACAAGAAGAACGACGAAAGCTCGAAGCCGTTGTTCGGCAGCTACGCAAAGATGCCATGCCACAACGTTCTCAACTCTCCCGCACTATGACGACGCCACAATAACGCCGAGTAGCCTGACTGCATCGACATGTTACGTTTGAACTTCACTTCTCTTTCTTACACTTTGTATTTCTATATACCCACTTTGTACCTTTCTGGATCCGTTATCATTCACGCATTACACGCGGAGTTTGGGACTTGCATTGCAACATGTGTACTGGCGTTGCATCGCTGCTGCTATAGTGGAAAGCATATCTGCATATAAAGTAATGTATACGCTGTGCTTCTTCGTTGGAATGACATTAGCATATGATCGCAGACGAATCTGTCCTTTGTTGTTCCCCTGTGATGAGCGGTCCATGGAGTGAGCGGAACAAAGATTGAGGTGGACAGGTACCGCATTTATTCATGCAAAACGTTTTCTTCAATGTATATCTGACCACTGCCCAGCGCCCAGGGAAGAAGATGTAGGACGCCTTACAAGATAGACGTTTACTAGCGCCCCCCACATTGCTCAAAGCCACCGCAGATTCGGACCGCATCACATCATGGTCTACCCTTCACCAATCTCACCCATTGCCGTAATACAACGTCATTCAGGTCAAAGATCGATCGAGCCAACTGTCGTAGGGCTGAACTCCAGTAACAAACTCGTGCAACTTCCCTAGTTCAGCTCCGCTACCTATGAGGCTCCCATGCGACACCAGCGTCATTTTCCGAAGTGCGGCCTTATTGAACAAGCAGAAGGCCTACGTCTCCACTTGCAGTCTCTACTGCCCTGTATACGGGTGGCCTTGAGTGTGCTCTCATCGCGAGATAGTGCGAAGTGTCAGCGCTCAATGCTCCGAGTATTCTGCCACATGGGCAGCCTGAAGAACCGGTACAGTGGCTGTGTTACGTGTTCGGCGATCTGATTCCCTTTGTCATTGGTTGTCTGTTGTATTTACTATGAGAAAGTACATCGCTGCTCCATCCTCATGCTCGCCGATTAACTCAAGAAGGTCCCCGGGCTGACACCGAGTCTCTCCGGTGTGGGAGTGGAAACTTCACGATGTGGTTGCCTTGGAGGCCTGAGAGAAGGTCTCATGTGGTGCTCTATGGTGATGTGGGAGTTAAGATGGATATAAATGAGTTGAAGGACGTCGCTTGCACATACCTACATTCCACCAACGGCCATTCCATCACATTTAATTACCTTTATCCCGCGCCCATCCAACCCTCACCAGAATGAAGCTCTCAACCCTCCTCACAACCCTCACCCTCGCCACCCTCGGCAGCAGCACCGCCCTCAAAAACTCCCGCTCAACATTCACCTGGACCTCCTGGGTCGACAGCCTGATCGCCGACCCAGCGCATGCCATGAGCCCCGAGGAAGCGATTGCCGCCTTCAACGCCGCAAACCCCAATCTCAATCCCGACCTCTCCACCAACGATGCTACTTTGGACAAGCGCCAAGCCTTCGGCAACTGCCAACAACTCTCCTCCCGACCCCCTTCTGTGCCCGACACCGTGGCTTGTATTAATGATCTAGCAGGCAGGGGCAATGCGGGGCAGGAGTGTAACGTTGATGGGTTTACCGCTCGCGTGCAGTGTAGATTGGGTAGTGCGGATGTGGTTAGTGTTAGGGGGAGGGATGATGCTCCTAAGAGTGTGAATTGGTGAGTTATCTCTCATTTTATTCTTGGTTGTGATTGGTATGGTTTGTATGGAGTGCTAACACGCGGGTTTAGTAATGATATCGCGAGGTCGGCTGGTGTGATTATGGATCGGTGTACGAGGGGGGATAATACGGTTTCTGGGGCTGCGTATATTCCTCAGGGGGGTGTTGCAGTGCAGATTCAGGGTCGGTAGATGGGGGTGTGAGCCGCTGGTGGTGGGTAGTGTGGAAGTGCGTGAGTTTACTGCTAATAGCAGGAAAGTATCTCGATATTGGGCTGGATTGCATCGTTTATGAGAGGCATGTCAAGTACAGTATCGAGAAAACTTAATCAGGTGCTTGATAAATAAGTGTTTCCTTGTTCGTGTATCAGACTTTCGATCGTCAGTCTGTATAGTGGTAATGTTTGTTCGTTTCATGAGCAACTACGTTGATACTCTCAACGACAAGCATTCGAGAACTAGAGCCGTGTCGAAGAAGTCAGAGACGGAAGACCTTGTAACCATCCATCGGACAACTTACTGAGCCCTAACGACATGCACGTCGTAATAAGACGCCACAGCAGTCGCAAGAACGACCCCAATAACTCGCGTACTCAGCACTCTCTCCAACTCAGCGAACTCACACGATCCCGAAAAGAATAATCCTCGCAGTCGACAAAAGTAACAAACAAACCCACCTCAACGTCCCGAACAAGTAACCCCCATCAGCATGCTCCCCACCTTCCCCTCATTCTCGTCATCCCAAAGCAGACGCCCTCACACCACCACGACGACCTCTCTCCACAAACGCGGTGGACACAATCGAAAAAGCAAACGCTCGAAAATGCCCGACCAATGTGACACAACACACACCGCCAACACGCGTGGACGAGGTACCCGACACAATCAAAAAAGCATGACAGCCCTCTTTTCACTTTTTCCCAACGGGTCGGGAACGCGGAAAATGCTTGAACGGCTGGCTGCATCCTGCATTCTCCCTTGATGCTTGCATGACAAACGCCACTTTCATTCTCCTTCCCATTCTCGTTGGGGTCGCACGGGGCGTGCAGAAGCGAGATAGGGCCGGGTGCACGGCCCTACAATGACATGCTGGTGTTTTCCAAAAAAAGAAAGTCGTTTGAGAAGGGAAAAAAGGGGTGCATGCATCATGGGGGTGGGGGAACATGACAAAAAACATGGCATGGAATATGAGTTGCGTTGGAAAAAGTCATGTGATTAGACTGTCGAGCGCAATTTGATGTGCGACTCAACTCTAGGTTGAAGACTCGGGTTACGAGTCGTGGAAAGTATCTATGGTGGGAATGTGAATGGCCCAACCTCATCACCAAGCCCCCGTCCTCATGCGATAAGGGTAATAGTGGTAACGAAACCCATGCATCTGATGCTGGAAACCCTGAGAAGTCGATGCAGTGATAAAAAGCGACAAAGGAAATCGTACAACAAATAGCGACTTTAGGTTTACAAGTTAAGGTGAATAGGCCGACTGAACTATGCGCGGCGGGTAAGAAGCGGAGAAGTATCATACCGCTGAAATGGGAATGATGTGAATGCTGGAAAGAAGAGTCGTAGCCGAATCCAATAGAACGGTCAGATGAAATAAGGAGAAAAGAAAAAAGTAGAAGTCTAGTACGTCCCTCCCAGACTGCCCCAGGCAGCCAGGACATCATCACTGACGCTGTCCCTATCCCGATCATTACTCGTCATCCTGGGACTGCTCGTAACATTGGCGTCTGGGCTCAAATGGCGCGCTCTCCCCTTGCTGGCGGGCTTGTAGTAGCTCGATGACTGCGAGTAAACCGACGTACGGGATTCAGTAGAACGAATGCTGCTCTGCCGACTCCGGGTTTCTATGCTCGCGAGCGCGAGTTCGCTGATGTGTCGCGCGTTCTTCTTCGGCATCTTTGGTAGTGCGGGTTCGACGATGCTGGGAGCACGGGACGATGCCTCTGAGACTGGAGTCAGGTCGCGGAAGCTGGTGGATGTGGGCGGCACCGGGAAGGTTATCTCGGCGTCGCTGGATGCGGTCCTACGTCGTCGGTGGGAGGATTCAGACTTTGCACCCACGGAGGGCATACGCATGATACCGTGATCAAGCATAGCTAGCTCGTCAAGCTCGTTGCTCGTGTCACTGCTTGCAACTTTCACAGCGACGTCTCTCTCATCGGCGTAAAGAGCAGGCGTCATCGGCGATGGCAGGGGTGATGGGTGACCAGTGGTAGTGGGCGATGCAAAGCTCGCAGCAAGCGGTGGAGACGGGGGAGACAACATGTCCTGAGGCGAGAACACGGACGGAGTGAGCAATTGGTGCGACACTCTCCCGCGACTGACAGGTGAGTAGTTTCGATCTGACCAAGTGGTGCTGGCCGAGGTGTCACGGAGTCGACTTGTAGTTGCACGGCTCTCTGTCGTCGAAGATCTGCCACGTGATGGCGCGATGGAGCAAGGTGCACTCGTGGGTGCTCGGTGTTTGTTCCGTGACTCAACCATTCGCGCAGAGCTGGGAGACATACCTTCTGCAAGAGAGGCAGACGTGCGATGCGGCGGTGTAGGACGTTTAGTTGACTTATGTTGATACCGATCTTGTTCCGGTGTAGATGACTGCGATGATTCGATCTGTTTGTTCATAGCGGCACGTTTCTTCCTCATCAGCTCCAACAAAGCCTCCTCTTCTGGCGTGACTTGCATAAACTTGCGTGACCCTTCGGACTGAGCCTGTGGTGCGCTGGCTGACGTGCGCGTGCTCACAACACTGTGCGCCGTTGGTGAAATCGGCTGGGTAACAGCGGTCTTTGGACGGATGTCGTCGTCTTCGTGAATGATCGAGGGCTGCCTGACGTGGCTGGACAATCTGCCACCGCTGTAGGTACTGCCACGAGGGTGATGATACGAAGGGAAAGGCGGTTCTGGTGCATACATAACTTCGATAGTGGCGTTTGTTGACGTTGAGAGTATGCTCAGTTTTCCCGACGACTGCATACGGCGATGTGGTGGAAGCTCGTAAGCTTGCGCGCGACCGATAACGATCTCCCCTGTGTAGTCGGCGCTATCCATGCTCTTGCGGACGCTGCCCTTGCGGGATCGTGACCGGTCGTCAGCTTCATCCTCAGACGAGGAGAAAGACAAGACACTAGAGTCCTGGAGATTAGTCTTGGAGATAGCTGACGTCTTGGTCTTTGCTGAGGTATGTGAGCGATATGTGTCCAAAGAGTACTGGCTGGGTGAGGTCAGATGGGTAATGTCGACGATATCCTCAAGCGCAAAACTGTCCCTCTTGAACGTTGGTGTGGGATTCTGCGATCGACTTTCGCAACGAGATGCATTCCTTACTTGCCAAGCCTCGATAGCAGTAGGCACAAGGTCTGGCACAAGGTCTGGCTCAGTCGCGACGCTGTTGTGGCGTTTATCTTCTAAGTCGCGCACTTCTTCCTCACTTTCTTCACTATCCTCATCGAGCGCATCGAACCAGTGCTGGACGCCCTTTGGTGGACGGCGTACGTGAATCTTGGCATTATCATACTGATCTCTCTTGACTTTCCGTACTGGACTCATATCCGGTTGAGGTTGAGGTTGAGGTTGAGGCTTTACTGGAGGATTATGGTACTTCATGCTCTTCTTCTTCTGTAATTTGGCAGGCTGTAGTTGTGGCGTCGGTTGCCTCGTCATTGGACGAGGAAAGAACTCAGAGGTGGATGACATGGCGGCCGGCGAGTTGACCATCTTGGCAGGCGAAAGCAGCGTACCGCCATGACCGTCGCTGCCATCCTTCGGCTTGGGGAACAGTTTTGTAAGATCTAACCGGGCTGGCTTACTCTTTCGGTATTCCTTCTTCCTCGTTTCCTCCAGGATGACAGGCGACACTGGACTCGCTTCGTGATTGTCGTAACCATGATCCGTCAACACCGGGGGATACCCTCTTCGTAAAGCCCTGTCTCTGACTGCCGAGTCGGAAGTTTGCTGGGAGATGGCCAGCGGCGACTTCTTTGCATCATAATGTGATCGAAGGGTCGAATTCGACGTTTGAGGGTGTAGCCGGCGATGGAGGGAACTGCTATCCGAGCCATGCCTGCTTTCCCCAGTATATGTGCGTCCCAGAACGTTCGACGAGGCTCGTGTTGCCATGGTGGGACGTTTCAGGTATCCGTCGTTCTCGGTGGGTGTTGCCGTGTTTCTCTCGTCGATGTGGGAGCCGAAGCTAGCCTCAGACACAGCGATGGACATGAATCCAGGACTTGGTGGTATTGTCGACTGCCGAGATGCCGAGCGATGCAGGACATCGGACGTCCCTAGGATTCGGTGTGCTTTGCTGGAGGTGTCTTCGGGACGAGAGGGCCTGTCGGGACCAGAGGCAATCGACGGTGCAGGGCGGGCGTCGAGGTCGTCGTTCTTGGGTCGCGAGCGGCGAGGTAGAGGGAAGGAAAACTTCTTGGGTGCGCGGTCGCCGCGAGCCATGATGGTGGAAGATTGGTGGCTGTGGTGCCGGCGTGGGCGCGACTCAGGGTAGTTAGAGATATGACAGTCGAGACTGAATCGCGGGACCAGTTCAGTTGGCGCTACGAAGTCAATGCCCACATAGGGTGTAATTGCGTCGAATGGCACGTCTTGTGCTACCCCCGGCCAGCGCTGACAGCATTAAGTGATGTTTGCTTTTTGGTGCAGATGACGATCCGATATGCGGTAGGAGAGATCCGGCAACCTCAATTGAGGAATCCAAGGGTTCAACTGCGGGCCCCTACTGCGCTGCTGCACTGAGCGCTAATCGGGCGTGGACTGGTTGAGTGCTATCTGCAGGAACGGCAGCGCGGCGTAAAGTAGTACGATGTCATGCAGCGCCGCTTCAGGACTATCGAGTTTGCTGCTTCTGGGGGCGATGGGGATGGCGGAGTAAAGAACCAGCTTTCGAGATCTCCCAGGAAGATGGGCGATGGCGGGTATAACCCGCGAGTATTAACCCAAGGATCCATTGAATTTACCGCTTGTGAGGAGCTGGTGGTGGTAGGATCCGCATCGTAGTAGGCTTTCAGGGGTATCATGCCATTCGGCAAGACGTGCGGACCGCAGCAAGGCACAAGCTCCGAGCCAAAAGCCACACTGCTGCGTCGCATACATGCATTCCCTGGGTTCCAGTCAGATGACAGCACGCCGCCGCGACCCGAATGTGCAGCAGTGCGGAGAGGCACGGCCTCGAGCATATC